CCTTAAATTTCTGAGAAAACATGAAACAAACCATAAGTAATTTAAACATGCAATTAAAATTCACATATTCACTTTACACCTTCCGTAAATTCCAATTAAATCGAAAATTGTTCCGACCTTGCTGACATTCAAATGTCCCTTTTGCAGCTTCCAATAATTGGAAATTAACAATAATATTGTAGTTTTAACTTTTATTTGTTTATAAAAGTGACATTAGGAATATGTAGGTGATTGATTAACGTGTCGTAATGAAACAGTGATGTGTTCTGACTGACTGATCAGAATAGATACGGTCGTGTGTTCTGAAAAGAACAGTTTCATCGTGTCGTAAGACACGGTAATATGCCCTGACAAGGACAGTTGTCAAACGTTTTCGTCGAGAAACAAGAATAATATTTCCTGAAAAGGACAGTTATTAGCGTTATCGCAAGGCTACGATATCGAAGTGTTCTGAGAAGAACACGTTCGTACGCTTCGACGGCTGCGTGCAGAAAAAGGCCAACTTTTTGCCGCGCCGCGTTTTTATCGCCTACCCTGGTACCTGCGCAACCAACCAACGCTCCGCATCTTGGCACCACATGTCAATATTAGTTGTAAGTGTAGGATAATTTTTAAGTATAATTGTACACAGTTTTGTAAATATCATTCATTATTCCATCTTCACCTCTTCTCTACAAGTAATTAGGGAGTTTTATTTTAACATCGACCAAATAATTCTGAAGCAATCAACCCTCAAGCACGATCCCTAAAAATACATTTAATCCAGAGACAATATGACGGAATAAGGTGCTACGAACAGCAGCTCGCATCTACGCTGTCGACTTTGCGGTAATGTATCGACATGCCCCTTGGGTACGAACGAAGCGTTTTCGACAGTACAATTACGCAAAAGCGGTAGTGTATGTAGAATACTTTTCGACACCAATATGGCTAGACCCCCTAGTATGTGTTCACAGACTGCTGATTTTGTGTGTCGTCTATGTCTTATGTCCGCAATGTGTTCTTTGAGTCTGCTGGACATATTGCGTTTAGTTTGCCACTTTGCCCTATGTAAGACAGGCCACAGTCGCAATCCAGTTTGTATATACCTGCATCTTGCAATGGGGTGTTACTTTTGATTGGTCTTAGGAATTGCTGAATCTTCTTGTGCGGCTTGAAAATTGTATGAATAGAAGCTCGTTTTAGGATCCGGCTAATTCTATCTGTAACTCCCTTTACATATGGCAGGTAGGCTGGCTGGCGGGGAACTGTTTGTGTCTTGTTTTTGTTTTTGTGATGCAGCCGGGGGATGCGCAGCTTGTTTTGGTGTAGCACCTGTTTGACATGCTGTAGTTCCTCCTCGAGGTGGGCATCATCACAAAGACGTTGGGCTCTCTGAAACAAACATTTACCGACAGAAAGCAGTTGTGAAGAGTGGTGGTGGGATTCACCATTGAGGTCCTATCTGTGTGGGTTGCCTTCCTGTGTATTGTGTGACCTGGTGTGCCATCTGCTTTGCGTATAATTAAAATATCTAAAAAGGGCAGACAGTTGTTGTTTTCTTGTTCAACAGTAAATTTAATGTTATTGTGTATTGAATTTAAATGTACTAGAAATGCAGATATTTTGTCATTGGGGAGTACTACAAATGTGTCATCGACATATCTCTTGTACAGTCGAGGTTTAACCGGGGTATTGGCCAGAGCTCTCTCCTCAAAGTCCTCCATGAAGATGTCAGCGACTATAGGTGACACTGGAGAACCCATGGCTACTCCATCAACCTGCACATAGAACTCATCTTTCCACATTAAGTATGTATGTTAAATAATTGTAAATTTCGTAAAAATACATAACTTTAATCCGGTTAAAAAGTTTTTTCTTTAAATGTTTATTTTAAAGAAATAATTTTAATGATATTAAGGAAATATCAATAACATACTTCTTTGCTCCAGTACAAAGCATCTCTCAAGTTTTTTTTTTAATTTTGTGAAAAATCCTGACGTGATGGGCTGAAACCAATTAATATTCAGAATCAGCGTACCTGCATTAGCTAAGGACACTTATCAAATTCAAAACACCAAAAATCATGTCGGCCTGTGTTTATTGACCTATTCACTATTAAATACCAATTATATTTAAAATAACAAATATTATTCTTTACCGAGACTGAGATATCCTCCCCGTTCAACATAATAAAACAAACAACAACACCAACAAACCCAGGGTTGCGTCTTTGGACGTGTCGCGGTGCAAGTTACCAGTGGCACGATACTCTGATGCCCCTGTCTCACACTCGGATGCACCCATACGGGCAGCGTCCGGGACTCCAAAGGAGAGGGCAGCGGCTGGGGATGCGCCAAACCGGGCTGTACCCCTGACCGTGCCCACTCCGATGGAATCCCAAATACCACCGCACAAGGATGTGACCACTGTTGCGGCCAGGTTGACTGCGTCGGTCGAGCCAAAGACAGTAACTCCGGATGATGATACAGCGATGTCTGCGTCTGAAGGTGGGGCATCCGCGGCAAGAACGATGCGAAAGACCGAGGCTGCGACGGAGGGCACGTCCAGTGCACAAACCTCGACCATGGATATGTCGGCCCTGAAAACTGCAATTCAGGAGCCGACTTTCAGAATGGTCTTAAGCAGCTCTAAAAGGCGACGGCACAGGAGAGCCACAAGGGCGTAGGAACAGCAGAAGCTGGATACCGGCGCTCCGAAGCTACATGTGAAACCTGGAACTGCCCCCGCTGTTACCACAGTAGAGAGAGCTGGGAAAAGGACACCGAAGCCTAAAAGGTCTACTGCCGCGCCGGAGCCTGGTGGCTCTGGGCGCAGTAAGGGACCTAGAGCGCTTAACCAAAGCTCAAAATGTGGCGTCGTCGAGGCCAAGGCTGCCCACGTCTATGACGGGGGTAGATGCGGTCGCCGAGACACACGTCCCAATGGAGGTAGCTCGACAACCACCTTCACCGGTGCAACTAACCTCGGATGACGAGTTGTTTCAGGAGACTGGGGGGAGTGAACTCAGCGACAGCTGTATGCGCGCCGAACTGACCTTATCCAGGTCAACCTCCAGCACAGTCAAACAGCGTCGGCTTCCCTACGCAGACTGTTGGACACCAACCCGAAGACCATCGCAGCGATCCAGGAGCCGTGGATCAGGAATGGCAAGATATGTGGCCTGGGCAGCACCGGTGGTAAACTTTTACTGGATACCTCCGTAAGTAACCCAAGAACTTGCATAATCGTGCCTAAACATGTACCAGCATTTCTAATAAACGAACTCTGTTCAAGGGACCTTACAGCTTTTAGGTTACCCAGAAACGAGCAACCAGACGTCGTCCTTGCGTCCACCTAGGTACCAGATGACGAGGACGTGCTCGACGGCTCTGGCTGACTACTGTGAGAGGGAGAAACTGGAGCTAATCATCGCGGCAGACTCCAATGCGCACCATACGTTATGGGGTAATGCTAATACCAACGCTCGAGGTGAGGATATGCTTAATTTTATACTTAGCAATAATCTTATCTTAGCAAACAATGGCCCAAAACCAACTTTTATTAACGCACGCTCACAAACTATTATTGATTATTTCAACATGAACATTTGAAACTTATGCATGCTGGGCCACAGTTATTGTTATCCTCAATAAGAGAAGTGTATTGGCCTTTCGGTGGTAGAAATTTAGCAAAGACTACTTATAGACGATGTATCAGGTGTGCACGCATGAAAGGAAAGATTGAAGCTCCTATTATGGGTAATTTACCCCAGCGTCGAGTAACTCCCGGTAACTATCCTTTTGAGTCTGTTGGCGTGGACTATGCAGGTCCTATTGCTTCTGTTACTCGTCAAGGTCGAGGCTCTCGTATTGTCAAAGTTTATATAGTTATATTTGTATGTTTTACGACTAAAGCATTACATCTGGAATTAGTGGGTGATTTGACAAGTAACAGTTTTATTTCTACTTTTCGTCGATTCATTGCTCGTCGGGGTAAACCATTGCACTTATATTCAGATAATGGTACTACATTTGTTGGGGCTTGTAAAGATTTAGCTAATTTCTTAATGCGTAACTCTGACTCTCTTGCCACTGATCTCATCAATGATGGTGTAAATTTTCATTTCATACCTGCTTATTCACCACATTTTGGTGGGATTTGGGAGGCAGCAGTTAAATCTACGAAATACCATTTATTAAGAGTATTAGGGAACTCTAAATTAACTTTTGAAGAATTGTATACAGTTTTAACGCAAATAGAAGCGATTTTAAACTCTCGACCACTCACTCCTTTATCAACGCACCCTGAAGATCTGACCCCACTGACCCCTGGACATTTTTTGATCGGACGTCCACTCACAGCTATTCCAACTGAAAGTTATGTAGACCACAATTATACTCATATTTCAAGATTTCAAAGAATTGAACAGCTTCGTCAACATTTCTGGACACGATGGAGCAAGGAGTATATCTCAGAACTCCAAAAACGGACAAAATGGCAAACCCAAGTAAACCCTTTGCAAATTGACTCACTTGTTTTGCTAAAGGAGGAAAATTTGCCCCCAATGAAATGGAAGCTGGGTCGCATAGTGGCGCTCTTTCACCACACCGGCACCCCGTGCCCGACAGGCCTTGGCTCAAGCTAGCTTCAGACATCTTCGAGTATCGTAGGAAATATTTCGTTATATTAGAAGACTACTTTTCCAATTATGTTGAAGTTAATGAGCTTAACAGTATATGTAGCAAAGCTGTAATAACTGCCCTAAAAGAACAATTTCGTAGACACGGAATACCAATTGAGTTGGTTACAGACAAAGGACCGGCCTGTAGCTCGGCCGAGTTCAAAAAAATTTTAGGGTCTTGGGAAGTTCGACATACTACTTCTTCTCCGCACTACCCGCAATCGAACGGAAAAAGTGAACGTGCTGTGCAGTCAAAAATATATTGAAAAAGTGCATTGATTCAGGTCATGACTTTCATCTAAGCTTATTAAATTTTAGAACGACTCCGCGGGACAATATGGATTCTCCAGCCCAAATACTTATGGGCCGCCGTTTGCACAATAGATTACCAATGAGTAGAAAATTAATGTATGAAGCAGTTGATAATTCAAAAAATTATCAAGCGCTAATGAGTTATAAGAAAAAATCTAATTCAAATTATAATAAGACGGCTAGGGACCTACCTACGCTTAAACAGGGTGATAGGGTAGTTCTGGCAGGGGATAATATAGGGAGGCCTGTCAAGGTCATTGTGAAATCCTCAGAGCCTAGGTCATACATAGTGGAGGACGCGGAGGGGCGCCGCTACAGACGTAACAGGCGACACCTGGTGGCGCGGGAGCGGCCGGCGCCGGCGCAGCCCGAGCCCGCCGTCAGCTGTTCCGCACAACAGCTGATCACTGATAAGGTAGTGTTGCCCTCTGCGAGCGCCTCCGACACACCGACGTCCATTGTTAGCGGTCCCGTAACTAGGTCAAAGACTCGAACGCGCGCTGGCTTAGGAGTTGATTTAAATAATTTGTTTTGATAAATTACTAATGATAAATTTGGCATTATAGGTACTTATTACGTACTTGAAGTAAGTACTTACTTAAATAAGATTTTGTATAAATAACAAGCTACGTGTTTGATGAACTTTAAAGGGGAGGATGGATAAATAGAATAAAAATAGTTTCTGTATTGTATACCTACCTACCTAATGTAACAAAGTACCTAGGTTCTTGTAAGTAGGTACTTACCTCCATTTTATGTGTTTGATTTATGTTGGTTTTTTCTTTATATTATTAAGGTTTAGTTGTAGTTATAAGATACACTAGAACTAGACTAGCGTGTTAGATAACTTCTCAATGATAAAACATTCAGGTACTTACCCATACTTACCTATAATTATTTGTGTTTACAGCTAAGTTATTAGATGTTAATTCGAATTAAGATTGCTTTATAGCTTTATTTATAAGGGGAAAGATGTGGTATTATTATGTACTTGTGGAGGGTAATTTAAAAAATAAATCAGTGTTAAACCAACTACCGCGTGTTTTACCTAAAGGACCTAATAATAAAATAAAAACATTTGTAAAATAAAATTTAAATTAGATCTCGTGAGCTGGTTTTACTTCATTAAAATAATGTTTAACATGACGTCGATTTATTAAAATGTGTAAAGTGTTATTATCGTGGACTTTAACGATTTTATAGGGACCTTTCCAAATTGGCGAAAGAGCCTTGCGCAGCCTGACGTGATTTTTTAAATAAACATAGTCACCTACTTTATACTGTATAGACCGCGTATGTTTATTATTAGTAGGTTTTTGATCTTTCTTTTGAAGTTTTGACATTTTCCAAAGCCTTTTCTCGATAAATTTTTAATCGGTGATGGAGCATTTTAATATACTCTGGATATGTAACGTCAGGGCGTGATTCAAATATTGAGTCAGGGATATATGGCTTGTGGCCGAAAACAAGTTCGTATGGAGTGAATTTAGTCGTTGTGTGGACACTACTATTATAGGTTAACATGGCGGTATATACGAACATAAGCCAGTTTGTCTGATTTTCATTTACGTAGGATTTTAAATATTCTTTTCAAGTGGAATGGCTTCTTTCTAAAGCGCCTTGAGTTTGAGGGTGATAAGGTGATGACCAAATTTGTTTAATCTTTAAAAACTCGCATGTGCGTTTAAATAATTCGGCAGTGAAATTAGTTCCTTGGTCTGTTAATATGGTTTTAAGGTGTCTGCCCACTATCCCGTAGCATACCATGACCGTGCTAGGAACGTTTCTAGCACGGAAAGCAACCCGGTACGCTCTATTTCGCCCACTGAAGCGGGCCGACAGCGTTCTGAACCCGTTTACAAGCCGTATGTAATCCGTATTTAATCTGTATGATGCCCGTATGTGACACGGCAGAAATCTTTTCAATACACTCGTAAGGCATCGGTTCATTCTCGTACAAATATCAGTGTTGCGTAGACGCGTTAATGTGGTGAAATATTGAAATAGTCACTTATGGTTATAAGGAAACTAACGATTGAACAACTGGCAATGATTGCTATCATTTTGGATGAAGTGGAAGAGGAAAATAACACTCGACGCTACTGGATTCACAATTCTATAAAAAAACGCAAAACGGAAGGAGAATATTGGACATTATTCAGTTGATGACGAAGAAAAGTTTTTACAGTACTTCCGAATGTGTACATTCAAATTTAACGATTTGCTGAAAAAAATTGAAAATTACATTGTCGAAAAAAACACAAACTTTAGAGAATGCCTGCTACCTAAAGAAAAGCTTGCAGTGTGTTTACGGTAAGTAAAAAACAATTTCGCGGCGAAACTGTATCCTTTACGGAAACTAATACTCCTGTACAGTTTAACAACCTAAGACACCAAGGAGGTAATGCAGTTTCTACCGCTTTTGAAGTACGCAATAAATTTGCCGATTTTTTCAAACGGCTCAAGGGCAATTAGATTGGATATCTACTTTGTAATTAAATTACTTACTCAAATAAACGATATTTGAATAATAATTAACATACCTGGTTGTTTTAGTTGTTCCGAAATATCCTTCCAAGCCATTTCTTTTTTTACACTATCCATATACTTCGGATGTTGTAAATTATATATAAACCCATATTTACGTACACATTCTATTAGTTTTTCGTCCTCCATTTTTACACATCTATAAGCATTTCACGCCTCTCGTTGAACTAATGAACGGACTGGCAATAGAGCAACACTGCTACAACGCATTTAAAACGGGTTTGTAACGGTCATACTCCCCGCTCAGTCACCGCTTAGCCGCCTGCGCGCAGCGGTCTGGCAACGTCGCGTGCCATGCACGTAGCGTGTCCGCACCGGCAAAATATTCCCTCCGACGAATAGTTGACGGCCCGTGCATGGCACGCTACGGTGTCGGCCGGTGACGGAGCGGTCTAGTGGGCATAGTAATAATAATAATAATAATAATTTATTTATTGCAAGAATATGGTACAAATGCTAAGGTGATACAATCATAAATCGTTCGCATATTCTGCCACACACGATGGCGCGCAAATTCGTCCCAAAGAATTTTACAATATTATTCAAAGCCAATTCCTATATTATCCAGCCTATTATATTATATACATTTCATCATTAATTTTATATCATTTACGGTGTTTCATGCAAATAATCATTTATTGAATAGTAAACTTTATCCAAAAGCAATTCACTAAGTCGCTTTTTAAAGAATCTAGACGGAAGATCTTTTAATTCTTTTGGTAATTTATTGTAGCCTTTAATTGCCATATAAAAGCTGTTTTTCCGAAACAGTTCCAGATTGATTTTTGGCACAGCCAAATTCTTCCCATGTCTACTTCTTACTTCAACTTCTACATTCGACTTAAAAATATGTATGTTTCTGTGCACGAATAAGGATATCTCTAAAATATAAATACATGGAAGAGATAAAATTTTGAGCTTCTTAAATAAAGGTACGCAACTATCAAGACAGTTTGCTCCACAAATTGCTCTAATACATTTCTTTTGAGCCTTAAATACCCTATTTACTTCGACTGAATTTCCCCAAATTATAATTCCATATCTAAGTATAGATGAAACATATGCATGATAAGCAGCTAATACCGTAGCATGGTTAACAGTTTCCCTTAGTCGCTTTAACACAAAAACAAAACTGTCTATTTTGTTCTGTAATTTTTCAATATGTGACTTCCAACTACAAAATTTATCTATCGTTATACCTAAGAATACACACTCGTTCATTATGTCTAGTTTATTGCTTTTATATTGTAAGTCTAATTGTGTTTTAGAGTTATATGTCTGAAAATGGATTATGTTAGTTTTGGTCATGTTTATTTGTAGATTATTGGAATTCATCCAGTTAATGGCGTCGTCTAGAGATTTAATTAAATTGTTTTTTAAGTCTTGTTCGTTTTTACTTTTTATTATAAGTGTAGTATCATCAGCAAATAGTATACAGTTCTGGTGTATAGCATCTGGAAGGTCATTTATGTATGTTAGAAAAAGTAGCGGGGCCAAAATACTGCCTTGAAGTGTTCCGTACTCATTTTTCTTAAAATTGGATCTATAGGTTTTTTGCTCTAGTTTACAAATCTTTGTTATTTCCACATATTGCATTCTATTTTCAAGGTAACTTTTCACCCAGTTATAAGCATTACCTCTTATTCCGTAGCAATCTAATTTTTTTAAAAGTCTTTCATGACATACAAAGTCAAAAGCCTTTGTCATATCTAGAAAGATGCAACCTATAAGCATTTTATCATTTAAGCATTCAGTAATTTGTTTGACTAGGGAAAAGCACGCAAGGGTGGTAGAACAATTTTTTCTGAAACCAAACTGTTCTTTTCTTAAAATATCGTATGATAAAAAGAAATTCTCTATTTTATTATACATTACTTTTTCGAAAATTTTAGATAATATGGGAATTAAAGTTATTGGTCTATAATTAGTCATTTTTGTTTTTGCTCCTTTTTTATGTAATGGTTTGATAATTGATATTTTTAGTTTTTCAGGAAAGATTCCTTCTACTATCGATAGATTAATTATGTATGTCAGTGGATCAAGTAGGTATAAAGCGCATGATTTAATTGTTTTGGTATCTAAATTATCGTATCCTGTAGATTTTGTATTTTTTAGCGATGTAATAATTTTTAATATATCCGTGTTATTTATGGGGGAAAGAAAAATACTTTTATGATTTAGAGGGATTTTGGCTTCTGGCAAATTGTTTGTTTTATTTTTTGTAGGCAGTGAGGTAAAATAGTCATTAAATAAGTTGCATATTTCATGTGGTGATTCATATGTTTTGCTATCAATATTAATTGCTTCTATTCCTGAATAAAATGTCATGTCTCGTGTATTTGTTTTAATTACATTCCAGGCTGCTTTAGTTTTGTTTTTTGCGCAATTTATGTATTCTACATTAGTAAGCTGATGGGACTTATGTATACATTTTTTTAAAATAGATGAGTATTTATTATATGCAGATTTATTTTGTTTTTTATTGTGCTTATTTAAATGATATTTTAGGTATAACGTTCTTTTTCTTATACAACATTTTTTTAGCGCTTTAGTAAAGAATCTATTTTTGATAGGTTTGAATGTATTTTTAATTTTTAAGATCGGAAAACATAAATTGTAAAACAAAGTTATAGTGTCATGGAAGTTGTCGAATGCTTCATTTGTTGTGGTGGCGCTGTATACGTCCGAGAAGGTGAGGCTTGATAGACACCTAATAAATGTATTAGTGTTTTCCCTATTGAGTTCTCGTCTGTATATATACCAGTATTTTGGAATATCTTTAAAATTTTCGTTTTCTTCGAGTGTAAAAGTCAGCGATTGTGCGGTCTCATGGTCTGAAAGTGCCAAGTAGTGGAGGTCCGAGTGTGTGTCATTTATGTTACTTGCTATTAAGTCTAAGCAGGAGTTTTTCCGTGTTGGGTGCTTTACATAATTTTGTAAATTATTATTTTGAAGAATAGAGATAAGTTCGCGGGAACTTTTATTATT